GTCTCCGTTGCTTTTGCGTGGCGGGCGTGGCACAATGTGCATTGCCAAGGGGTTGGATGTACGCCCTGGCGTCCCTTGGGTCTCCGCCTCTTTTGCGTGGCAGGCGTGGCACAATGTGCACTGCCAAGGGGTTGGATGTACGCCCTGGCGTCCCTTGGGTCTCCGCCGCTTTTGCGTGGCAGGCGTGGCACAATGTGCACTGCCAAGGGGTCGGATGTACGCCCTGGCGTCCCTTGGGTCTCCGACTCTTTTGCGTGGCAGGCGTGGGACCATGTGCACTGCCAAGGGGTCGGATGTACGCCCTGGCGTCCCTTGGGTCTCCGCCGCTTTTGCGTGGCAGGCGTGGGCCGGAGCACAGGGCACAATGTGCACCGCGCCCAAGGGGGGTTGGATGTACGCCCTGGCGTCCCTTGGGTCTCCGCCTCTTTTGCGTGGCAGGCGTGGCACAATGTGCACTGCCAAGGGGTTGGATGTACGCCCTGGCGTCCCTTGGGTCTCCGCCGCTTTTGCGTGGCAGGCGTGGCACAATGTGCACTGCCAAGGGGTCGGATGTACGCCCTGGCGTCCCTTGGGTCTCCGACTCTTTTGCGTGGCAGGCGTGGGACCATGTGCACTGCCAAGGGGTCGGATGTACGCCCTGGCGTCCCTTGGGTCTCCGCCGCTTTTGCGTGGCAGGCGTGGGACAATGTGCACTGCCAAGGGGTCGGATGTACGCCCTGGCGTCCCTTGGTCTCCGCCTCGTTTGCGTGGCAGGCGTGGGACAATGTGCACCGCCAAGGGGTCGGATGTACGCCCTGGCGTCCCTTGGTCTCCGCCTCTTTTGCGTGGCAGGCGTGGCACTGCCAAGGGGTCGGATGTACGCCCTGGCGTCCCTTGGTCTCCGCCTCGTTTGCGTGGCAGGCGTGGGACAATGTGCACTGCCAAGGGGTCGGATGTACGCCCTGGCGTCCCTCGGGCTCCGCGTCTTTTGCGGGGCAGGCGTGGGACAATGTGCACTGCCAAGGGGTCGGATGTACGCCCTGGCGTCCCTCGGGCTCCGCCTCTTTTGCGTGGCAGGCGTGGGACAATGTGCACTGCCAAAGGGGCGGATGTACGCCCTGGCGTCCCTCGGGCTCCGCCTCTTTTGCGTGGCAGGCGTGGGACAATGTGCACTGCCAAGGGGTCGGATGTACGCCCTGGCGTCCCTTGGGTCTCCGCCTCTTTTGCGTGGCAGGCGTGGGACAGTGTGCACTGCCAAGGGGTCGGATGCACGCCCTGGTTCGGATGTATGCTTTGGCGTCACTTGGCACTCACTCACTCACTCACACTCCCTTACTCTCTCACTCTCACTCCTCACACTCACTCCGTCACTTACTCACTCACTCACTGACACTCTCAATCACACACATACACGCAAAGATCGATGGATGGATGGATGGATGGATGGATAGATGGATAGATAGATAGCTCTCACACAACTACACTCATTCACTCACTCACTCACTCACTCACTCACTGACTCACTGACTCACTGACTCACTGACTCACTGACTCACTCACTCACTCACTCACTCACTCACACACACACACACCCACGCGCACACGTGCACACGCGCACACGCGCACGACAATGCATATAATGCAGATCCTGAAGAATGAAGTTGCCTGATGATCAAGGCGAGAAACGGTTTGATGTAAGAGTGCTGTTAAGTATCATCTAGTCATCGTATCTGAGCATTGTCCTCGACCACTGTGTGCCACATTGTAGCTCCACAAGCAAATCACAAATTCACATACATGTATCATTGTATGTAGATTGACTAGCCGTCGATCATGTATCACAGACAGAGAGAGAGATAGATAGATAGATAGACGAGATAGAGAGAGAGAAATAGATAGATGGATTGATTGATGGATGGATGCACGGATAGATAGACAGATAGATCGATCGATCGATAGATAGATAGATGGATTGATAGATAGATAGATAGATAGAGAGATAGGGAGAGAGAGAGAGAGAGAGACATAGATAGATGGATGGATGGAGAGATAGAGACATAGATGGATGGATGCATGGATGGATGCATAGACAGATAGATAGGTAGATAGATAAATAGATTGTTACATAGATGTTACATAGATAAATAGATAGATAGACAGATAGAGACATAGATAGATTGACATACTTGGTTCACTCCATTCAGTTTCAGCTTTGCCGTCTCCCTGGCATGTTTTGACGTCGGCCTGGCATGTTTGATATACCGGCCTGTTTGACGTGTGTCAGACTGCTCGGTGTAGCTTGGCCTGTTTGCAACATGTTCGACGTGCACAGAATAGATAGATAGATTGTTACATAGATGTTACATAGATAGAAAAATAGATAGATAGATAGATAGATAGATAGAGAGATAGATAGATTGACATACTTGGTTCACTCCATTCAGTTTCAGCTTTGCCGTCTCCCTGGCATGTTTTGACGTCGGCCTGGCATGTTTGATATACCGGCCTGTTTGACGTGTGTCAGACTGCTCGGTGTAGCTTGGCCTGTTTGCAACATGTTCGACGTGCACAGAATAGATAGATAGATTGTTACATAGATGTTACATAGATAGATAAATAGATAAGATAGATAGATAGATAGATAGATTGATAGATAGATAGATTGACATACTTGGTTCACTCCATTCAGTTTCAGCTTTGCCGTCTCCCTGGCATGTTTTGACGTCGGCCTGGCATGTTTGATATACCGGCCTGTTTGACGTGTGTCAGACTGCTCGGTGTAGCTTGGCCTGTTTGCAACATGTTCGACGTGCACAGAATAGATAGATAGATTGGTACATAGATGTTACATAGATAGATAAATAGATAGATAGATAGATAGATAGCTATTTGCTGGAGAAGAACATCACGGCGATCACCAAGGTCATCACAGATGTGTGAAGAAAAGGGTGAGCAAGGAGAACAACAGCTACCTTGCTGTTTTGAAGCCAGGAGAAACACCTCGCCACTGCCCAGGCGAAACAGATGGACGCGTTACAGTGGCTGGCGGTGGTGTCATGTGGTTCCCACCTATCAGCAGACAAACTCAACATGTACACACACGAGATGTGTGACTGGCTATCTGCCTGCGAGGGTATCCACCTCCGTCCAAAACGCGACGGACGACCAGGTTGTCCTCGTGCGCGCTTTGGTTCAGCTGCTGCAAGCAGTAATCGCGTCAAGCTGTTGCAGGACAATCTCGGGACTGACAAAAGTTTTAGTTAGGCTCGCCATGACATTACACACTTGGTCACGTATTGTGATGCGGTGCATATCGTCGAATCATTGTCTCACAGCTATGGAATATTTCGATTTGACAACCTTAGCGATTTGCTTACACTGTTCAAATATATATATATTATATATTTCAAATATATATATATATTATATGTAACTATTGCCCGTTCCTATTACAATATTCTCAGGGGCTAGCGGCTAGGATGGTTCCCCCACCTTGGCGGGGGGCAGGTCGGTTCGTCGCCTGACTCAGCACCTCCATGAGCAACTACTCCAAGGCAGGCTCTTGCCTCTGGGCTGCAGCTCCAGTTCCGGGAGTTTTGACGATGAGTTTTTTTTTAAGAAATTGGACGAACCGATGTGAACTGATGTTTGTTCCGCAGCAGTCAGTCGGAGACATCATCATCATCATCATCATGATCATGATCATGATCATCATCATCATCATCATCATCATCATCATGTGCCAGCGATGTTTACCAGCCACAGGGCATGCAGAAAAAAATCACAAAATGTGCGGCTGCGCTCGAAAGAGTGCAGAACATTAC